AGAGCACCATTTCTCAAGTTCTTAAAATTTCTAGAAATGACATGTGAATAAACGTATTCGAGAATGCCCTGCTTTTGTTCAGGATATTTTGATTCAAGGGGTTTCTAGTGACTTGCTTTCCTGCTCTACTGAGCTTCATTTACGTACGATGTACCTTCCTGTTGCTCAATCCAATTTTGTTCTATGTTTCAAAACACATGAATTCAGCATGGAAAAGAATTATTACACAGAGCATAAAAGAATTACTAACAAAAGGGGCAGACACATTCCAATAGACTTGGTAGTGTTAAACCTGGAACGGTTTAATTGAAAGTTCTCTTACCAGCCTAATAATAGTGAATTATTGTGACCTTGATTTAACAGAGAAAGACACTATCTGTCTTTCTTAGTGGAAAGATGAGAAGCAGGGGTCAGGTGCCTTAACTAGATGTTACATAAATGAAATACACCTGCAATGTACAGATCTTGGAAAACTCGTAAGGTTCAAAAAATAGAGTAGCTGTAAATTTATTAGCTTTTTTATTTAGTTCTTTTTCAGAATTGGATTGCTATTGTATGTTCAACTTCACAGTTTTATCTCCTGATTTTCATACATAACATGATATAATGAGTGTTTTCATATCCTTAAAACATTTTGAAAATTCTAGCTATGTTGAATTCATCCAAGGTATAAATAGATTCTAATTTACATGGATGTCTAAATTCAGGTATTTTTGTTTCTTTGTTTTGCTATTACAAATCTTGTGGTGAACATCCTTAAAAATAAATCTACATATACATTTCTCTAAGCTGGACTCTTAGCTAAAATGTAAAAATACTTAAACACACTGAAACATTACCCACAGAAGACATTTAACAAAGTACACTCCGTCAATGGGATGAAGTTTTCTCACTGCACTTTCAAAAAATGATTTGCGTTTAAAAATCATTAAATACATGATAGGCAAACGAAACAGTTAATTTGCATTGCTTTGCGAGGCTGAGAATCTTTCATACTTAGTGTTTATTTGGATTCCTTTTCAAAGGAAGAGGATGCTTCTCTTGTTTGCCCATTTTCCTGGAGACTGAATTTTAGTGTTACTTTTATTGATCTATGTGATTTCTTCAGACTGTTCATTCTTTGCCACGTTTGTTGTATAGGGTACTGATACTTTATCGGTCTTTTAATTTTGTTTCTTTTTGTTTTTTTTTGTAATTTTTTTAGCCTTCCCTGACTTGGCCAGTTTCTTTATTATTAAAAGCACAATATTTCCCCTTACATTTTTTTTTTTGATACTCAGATTTTTTTTAAATGTTGCATCAAGGCTGTTAATTTTTCCTTTCATTGCTTTTTGCTCAAAAGTTCGTTTCAGTGGCTGACCTAAACAAATATGTCATTTTATGTACTGTTTTCTTTAATACTTTATTTGTCCACATTAACTTCTGAATTCATTCAGAGTAACTTTTGGTATGTAAGAAGGAAGGAAAAATCCAACTTTGATTTGTCTTATCTGATAGTCAACCAAATGTACTGAATAGCCAGGCTCTCATTTTTCCTTTGACTTACGAGTCTCTCCTCACTCCACACTCAGTGCCACAATATACCAGGTTCTGTTTTCACTAATCAGTCTGCCAACGATCTATGACTTGTATTTTAAATTCAGCAGCACCAAGTTTGCCTGTGTATTTATTGCTCTTTGAAATCCCTCTGTCAAATTGTCTTTAGAATCTTGGTATTCCCTTTAACTTTTCATTAGTTTGCACTATAATTTATAATCATACCCACCACAAATAGTTCTTTGAAAGATCTGAAGATACACTAAAAAGTGAGAAACTAACAAATTGGAAACCCTGAAACCTCCCTTACCCCGAGACTCGCAGTTCTAACATTTCCGGGCACACACTTTCAGGGTCTCTACCAGGGAGGAGCTAAGTAGCTTTGCTACCATTCTTCCCTGGTGAGGAAACATAAAAGTGTCAGAGTAGGATGAGTTTTTCACAATCTAGAAAAAGTATCTTGATTCAGTTCATAATTGGATTGCAATGTATTTTTAAAATACCAAAGATATATATAATCTTAATTTCTCTTGGATTTGAATGTTTAATCTTTGGAGACACATAAAAAGCAAACTAATGAGCCAGACTCAGGTACACCCCTTAATCTTGCTGCTCTGATCCATTAAGCTGGGTTTTATTTCACTTGCAACATAATCCAGTTAGTAATGCATCATAAAGATGCCCCCGGTAGCCTGCCAGTCACACACAAGTCGCTTCCCTTGTTTTCCTCATTTCCCAGCGATGATTCACTTACTCCAAGTGCACTGCAAAGTGCAATGCCATTTAATTCCTGGCTCATTTCTGTATGTGTTTATTCAGCGGTATCTTAGTCATAGGAGATGCTCAATAAACCTCCGTCCGACGGAGGAGAATGAAATGAAATGTACCACTTGAAGAGAGTGCTGTACAAAACCGGCACGTTATTAATAACTACATCAGAATTCCTAGAAGCGGCTGATGCAGGGACACGTGTAAGCCCTCTCCTCACAGCCAAGCCTGGGAGATGAATAGCTGACACGTCAGACGTGTGATTTATTCACATGCACTAGTAGGAGATTTATAGGCATCTATTAACCTACTCGAGTTCCAGTTCTGTCTCAGGCTGGTCTTTTGTCATGATTAGCTATGTTGTGACTCCATGTTAAATAATAGGTTGTCTGTGCGGAAATATGCAAGAAATATGAAGACAGAAGCCCAAAATTATTATACATGGACATCGTTCCAGCCAAACCACAGATACATCTCTGCCTGTGTATGTTAAAAAAAATTAGACATGTACATATGTGCAAAAGAAAAGGACTTTTTCCTGGACCTGAGACCCACCGTCACAGGCTGGATTATGTCTCTCAAATAACTCATACATTGAAGTGCTAACTTATAAAGGCCAGTACGTGGAATGTGACCATATCTGGAGAAGGAGTCTTTATAAAGGTAACTAGGTTAAAATAGGGTTATTAAAGTAGACTTTAACTCACTATGACTGGTGTCCTTTTAAGAAAAGGAAACTTGGATAAAGACACACACAGAGGAGAGAAAATGAAAAGACACAGGGAGAAGACAGCCATCTACAAGCCAAGGAGAGCGGCTTGGAAGGGACCCTTCCCTCATGGCCCTCGACGGAAACAACCCTGCTGACACCGCGATCCCAGACTTCTAGCCTCCAGAACTGTGATAAAACATACTTCTGCTGTTTAAACCAGCCAATCTGTAGCAGCTTGTTACAGCAGCTGTAGCAAACTCATACGCCCATGAACTTAACTGAGAATACAGTCGGGCTGTCTGTTAATAAAAGAATAGGAATTTGTTTGTTTTTTTCCAACACTCTCAGTTTTGGAAAAGATGAATCAGACCTGCCGGCATACAGTGGTGGGCCCTGAGCCGAGGCTTCCTTGGGGTAAAACAGCATCACACAAGACCCTGCTTTGGGGAGACTTCTCATTCATCCTTTCACCCATCAATCAGAAATGCAAGCTTACTTGATTGCATTGCCCACCTCCACACGATGACCCCACTGGATTGGCAGAGGTTAATTTTAACAGGTAACTGAATACCCATAAGAGCGTGGATGCACTTCGTGCTTTGAAAGGGTAGCTCATTCTTGGCTTTTCCCTTGAGGTCTTCAAGTCACCTGCGTGCTTCCTACCTGTGTCTGCCCTGATGTAATACATACAGCAAGAGAAGAAGAACATGGGGAGAAACTGTTTCCACTCCCCCCAGCCCCAAATCAGGTTCGCAGAGGACAGAAATGGGTTGTAAATTTTGTAAATGAGGTCAACGTAACGGCGGTGCCCGAGTCACACGAAAGCCATCATGTCGAGGGTGAAAAAAGATGATAATTCAGCTTGTCCTGACACGGGATACAGGTTGACTCTTACAGAGATCGGCCGCGATCATTGATAAGCTCTTCCAAACCCGTGTCACTGCCCACAAAGCCAGCTCACCTTCCCATGGGCTGAGGTGGCCTGCGGAGCCAGGCAGGACTAGAAGACCCATTTCTCTGTGCCACCTTAATACCACAACATGGAATAAAGTTTTATAACAGCAAGAGAGAGAGAGAAGAAAGTCATAATTTTCCATGCTTCAAGATTCAGAATAATTAATTTAATAACTGTGTCATATGAGAAGAGTAAATAAAGGGAAGGAAAGGGGTGTGGATATATACGATCACTGAAGCATATATGATTGCGAGCGAAAACAAATTACCAGGGTAGCGCTGGAAATAATAGCTCGGTGGGAAATATTTAGGGAATGCTAATTTGATTATTCTACGGAGCCTTAAAGCTGCAGTGTCTACAAGTGCACGATTTGTCTCCACTTGTTTTTATTTTTAGCAATTAGATAAACTTCTTGATCTCCACCGGGAATTTTCCCCGAGTCGTTCTCCACCCAAACTGCAACGGGACTATGATTTCATTTACAACATCTTGCTGGAGAGTATTTCATCATCAGAAGTGTTAACACTATTGAAAGGAATAAACAACGGGCAGAATCAAAATAAGATGCAGTCTTCCCCTGGACACAGTTACACTCTCTGGGGTTTGGTTCATAATAAACACTGAGGCTCTCGAGCCCAGATGAGCAGTTTGCTTTGTCATGCCACAATCTGGAGGTGGGCAGGAAGAGACTGTTTTTGAGTGTGACCATATGTGCCTAAATCCCACACCAGAAATCCAGGCTTCTAACATGAGCAAATGACTATTCCTGTTAAGTTGGTACCATAGCAAAGCAGATCTCCCTTTACTTGATCAAGTAAAACTCAAATCTTGTCTACTTTAATTCAGTTTTCACTTCCTCAAATACTAAAGGATCGCAGCCTTGTTCCTTCCCATTTTAAGGCTGTTGATTCTGTCATTCACACACTGGACTGCACGCATCACATCGTACACTCCTGGAGTGTAGCACCCCTGTCACGCCCAGGCATCTCTGGGGACTTGCCCTCAGTGCCAGCTGCCACAGTGGCTTACCGACAGTGTTTATGGGATCCGGTCAAGGTTTCGATCACAAAGCACTCGCCATCATTGAGACAGTAGGCAAGGTCCTTGTCTCGGCAGGGTTTGAAGTGCTCAGATCGCTCCGTGGAATATGTTGTCGTATCTGCAGAGAGAAGCACACGGAGACATGCCATCAGCAGTGCATTTGGACACCCCCCGCTCCTGTCATTGGCCTGGATCTGCACACTGAGGCCATCTCATGGCCACGTACCTTAGGAACTCTAGACAGACAGGATGGACCCTTACTGCACTGAAGAAAACAAAGTGCAGCTGGAGAGGACCATTTTATAGACTGAATGTGTCCCCCCACAATTCATATATTGAAACCTAACCTCCAATGTGATGGTATTAGGCGGTAGGGCCTTTGGGAGGCGATTAGGTTGTGAACATCATTTATGCCCTAAGTGACTCTGGAGAGCTCCCTCGTCCACTCCAGTCATGTGAAGGCGCAGCAAGTAACTCGCCGCCTGTGAACTAGGAAGTCCTCGCCGACACTGAACCCACAGGCACCTGGATCTTGGACTCCCCAGCCTCTGGAACTGTGAGAAGTAAATTTCTGTTGTTTATAAGCCACCAGGTCCCTGGCTTCTGTTACAGTAGCTCGGACTGACTAAGACAACCCCTGAATTCAGCTGTCTTATTTCCCCACTAGATTCTAACAACTGGAATCACTCTAGAAAAGTCCCAGCGGAGGACACGTCAACAGCCAAAGGTCAATGCTCTTACATTCAAATACCTCAAATTCACTTTCATTAATTTCAGTTTTTAACAAACATGCATAAAAGATTGGAAGAAACATTCCCTTTTCCCTTTATTTTTGCCAAATGTCATCAAATAACTGATCAGCATGCATCTATTGTGACTGTTCTATGGAAACCAATGTCAGCTTCTGTGTGTCTGTGTGTGTTTTGTTTTGTGCTTTTTTTTTTGTTACAGCTGTAATTCGCTAATAGCTAAGCCAATTATTCTTTCACTTCTTCTTTTATTATGTAATTAAAATGCAAATGTTCCAAATTCTGAAATGGAATCTCAAATGTGAAGCAAGTTCCTGGTAAATATTTAACAGGACTAAATTACTGTCATTTTTTTTTTTAGCATTATCTTACACACATATTTTTAAAATCAAAATCACTTACGTTTTTAAAATTAAGCTATATGTGTATATCAGCTTCCCAGATACAAAACTAATCATAAGCATGTGCTCTACACTGGACGAAGAACCAGTTATGCAGACATTCTAGGCTCAGGGTTTCAAGCAACTGGAGTATTGGCACCAATCTCACTGCAACATTCAGGGAAAAAACATCTATTTAAAAAGTCAAAGATGAATACATGATGCAGCACGTAAGCTCCTTTGATTTCCTTTTCACAGATATGGATTAATAATGATGTTCAGCAGCATGGGTTACTGTACCAGCAGTACAGTACCTGGAGGTCACAAGGAGCCCCCTCCTGCCTGTCATCCAAGCTGAGTGATGCTCCAGAAGGGAAATCCACTCATGTTCTCCTTACACCTGAAAATCCTCAGTGGTCCCCAGCCCCAAAGGAATAACTCCAAATGCCTTAGGAGAGCAAAGAAGGACACAGCCATGTGGAATTTCACCTCTCTAGCCCCATCTTCTTGTGTCCTAAAACACACAATTTCATTTCCAACTATTTTCCTATTTCCCCAATATCAGGAACCGTTACACTGAATCCTTCTTCCTGGACCATCTTTTTATTTGCTGGAAGACATCCAGACATTCTTCAGCCCTGATGTCATCTTTCCCTGGTGTCCCCCAGCAGCTTTTATCGCTTGCATCACTGCATTCAACTCTGCCAGCAACCATCCGTTTACATGTTTATCTGTATCTTTAGTCTGTGTGTTCCTTGAGGTCAGAGGTTGAGCCTCAGTCAGAATTGGTGCTTAGTGAAAATGTCTCCAATAATCTGATAACTTTAACATCACTAAAGTTTAAATGCCACTGATGAACGATAGGATCATCAAAGATGTCATCGCCGTCAGATAAAAAGCTAATAACATATTTCACAACAAAAAGCTAGATATAATTTCACGTTAATGTTATCATTTTAGTATACTAGTTTTTTAATACGGATCAATATTGCAAAAATAAATACTGCCTTCAGATTCACACAGACTCTCACTCATACACTACTCATACACTGTAAGCATGGAAAAACCCATTTTTTAAAATTGATTTATGTATTTATTTTACAATATCATATTTTTAAAATTGAAGTACAGTTGATGCATGATGTTATATGTTACAGGTGTACAATATAGTAATTCACAATTTTTAGAGGTTACACTCCATTTATAATTTTTATAAAATATTGACTGTATTCCCCATGTTGCGCAATACATCCTTGTAGGTTATTTTATACCTGATCGTTGGTACCTCTTAATCCTCCACCTCCATCTTGCCCCTTCCCCTTCCCTCTCCCCACTGGTGGCCACCAGTTCCTTCTCCACATCTGTGAGTCTGTTTCTTTTCTGTTGTATTCACTAGTTTGGTGTATTTGTTCAGACTCCACATGTAAGTGATATCTTATAGTATTTGTCTTTCTCTGTCTGACTTACTTCACTTGGCATAATGCCCTCCAAGTCCATCCATGCTGCACACCAGAAACGCATACGACATTTTAAATCAACTGTACTTCGATTAAAAAGCAAACACCCAGCCGACTCATTTAAACGATGGGCAGAAGAACTGAACAGACATTTTTCCAAAAGAGGAAAAATCCACTTCTAATCTTGTCTTTCATGGTGGTGTAGTGAGAACTTCAGAACGTTTTCCACTTCACAGTACGTGCCTGGTAAGACTTTGGCATGGAACGAAGGCTCTGCAAAACAGACACTTTTTGTTTGTTTGTTTGTTTGTCTGTTTTCCAGATTTCCTCCACAGGGGAGGTTTGTTATTCAAGACAGTATGTGATAAACAGTTACACAGAATCAATCTCTCTTCCCATGGGAAATACTTAAAATTCAAGAGCTCCCAGCCAAAAATTCAATATGAGCCACCACACAGCTGACTTGCTGCTCTGACTGCTGAAGTATATTAATTCGCGATCAGTTAAAGTTTTTCTTTAATTTCTTATTATCCATTTATTGATATTCGCTGATCATTCCTCCAAGAACAGCTTTTCATTAACACAACCTGCCGCATAAGAAGTGGGATCCTTATTTTATCATCATTGGTTTTAACAAGCTCAGGCTTCCAAGAGCAATACAATGGCAAAGCAATTACAATCAATTAGTTTCCATCCGACAACGACGGTCTCTCGTGGTCACTGCCCTCTTCTACCCACCGCTCTCCCCATCACGTGCCCATCTCTGAGCACAACACACAGGATCGGAACCAAGTAAAACGCCTCTGCAAAAGTCCACGGTGGGACAGTGCAGAGACGTCACGTCAAACATGCGCCCGCCTTGTCTATTTCCATAGCTTAGCGAATCCCCAGATTGATTTAAAATACACAGGCTTATCCCTCACGATGAACTTGACTGACTCAAGGGAAGCATTATTAAGTATTAAAACTAACTTAATTTAATACACAATAATAGAATGGTGGGTGTGGGCCTTCTATAGGTAAATAAAATGCAGTCATCAATACATTTGAAATCTTAAGAACCTATCCAGGCATTTCACTAGATAGTGTCCATACGGCAATACTCACTTAAAATCACGGAGGCTGCTAAGGCATCATGCCACACACGTGGATGGAAAGATAGAAAACACCTTAATTCACTAGGCAGCTATACTAAGACCACCCTTGAGTGAAATAAATCAGAAGCGCACTGTGTCCAAGTCACTGTTAGACTTTCTATGACTTATGACCAAACACAGCCCAACAAAGACAGTAATCATTTTGGAAGACATCCTGCATATTTGAATATCTGCTTATAAGTACACGTATGTATATATTTGTTTAAATCTTTAGCATATAAAACATATTACAAACACATAAAATGCAGCATGCATAAAAATGAGATAAAAATAAAATCGGAGGTATAATTCCTTCTTTTCTTTCTGTGCCCTAAGGTGCCACAGTGTGCTGTAACAGAGATCCAGCTGAGTGGTTTGTTCTGAAGGGGAGACACAGGACGTTTGTGGGAATGAGATAACAGAGAAGATCCAACTCCAAACTATCAAAGCTACGGCCCTAAATAACTTTGGGGCACCTTAACAATCAGACATAGAGCTCTCAGCTATGACTGTATCCAACATGTCCAACATGAACCTGTTTATGTTTTAAAACTGCCACGTTTAAGATAGTCTAACACACTAAGGTGGCTACAGCATTGGTACTATGTTGTCATGCATTTAAAATTCAAAGAGCACCGTCTGTTTCTAGGCATGAAATTGGGTACATAAAATTGTTACAGAGCTCTTTATTGCCTTCAAAACATTACACGGATAAAGGTCCAGGAAAGTAAACTAGAATGGGCCTCAGAGTCCCAAGAATTTGGATTTGTCTTCCAAGCTCTCCCTTCTTTTTAAGTACCTCACCATCAGACATCAGTTTCTGACCACATCCACTCATGAAGCTGCTGTTTCATTGGACTGTGAGCTTGGGGGGGAAGAACAGGTCTTCACATCTCTGATCCACAGCCTGACACAGAGGTGCACGCAATTGATACTTATAAAAGAATGATCTTTTTGTACATGAGTGTTATTCTAAACATTCTGTATTGTCAAGTAGGCATACTTTGTTCTCATCATCAAAGAAAAACTCTATACAAATAAATGTTTAGAAGTTAGTACATGAGAAGAGTTCCAGAAGCAATTTACGTAAAGGGTATAGAATTTAATAGGAAGAGCAGAAAATCTGCTCCACAGAATGGAGGCAAAGGGAGGAGCGAAAAAAAATATACAAGTCATTAGGGAAAGTATTCTGGAAGAGATGGCATGAAGGATAAAGGAATGTCAGACTTCAGGTGAACAGAGACAGTGCTAAGAATGGCCCTTCCAAGCACCATGACCAAAGTTCAAGGTCTCAGGTCAAGGAAGTGTAGCTGCCGGCACGAGGAACAGTGCCCATTCACTTGGGACCACGGTGGCTGTGCAATTATCCACACCACTCATCTGGCACTTGTTATGT